CCGGCCTTGTCTCCTGGGCTCCGACAGGCAAAGGAGCTTCCCGAGACAGATGCCACCTCCAGCCGGGTGTGGATCCTCACCAGCACCCTGACCACCAGCAAAGTGGTGATCATTGATGCCAACCAGCCGGGCACTGTCGTGGACCAGTTCACTGTCTGCAATGCCCATGTCCTGTGCGTCTCCAGCATCCCTGGTGAGTGCTGCCTGGCCTGAGCCGGCACCCAGGAGGGTGGGCGACTAGGATGTTAAGTCAGGAGGCCTGCAGAGCGGCACCTGCCTCCTGAGACACACCGTGGGCACACGGGAGCCAGTGGGGGCATGTCCAAGGAGGGGCTCAATGGGACGCTCACCCGATTCGAAGGAGGTGGGGTGGCATCAGCAGGCAGCCCCATCGTCCCCCCCCACCCCCACTGGGCCACCAACTCTGCGTGTGGTCTTGCAGTAGTGACCCCCTCAGCGTGGGGTGACGGGACTGTGACTCTTCCCGGCAGCGGCCAGCGAGAGTGACTACCCTCCGGGGGAGATCTTCCTAGACAGCGACGTGAACCCTGAGGACTCTGGTGCAGATGGCGTGTTGGCTGGCATCACCCTGGTGGGCTGTGCCACGCGCTGCAATGTGCCACGGAGCAATTGTTCCTCGCGAGGAGACACCCCAGTGCTGGACAAAGGCCAGGGTGAGTGCAGGGCCTGAGCCTGGGAGCTGCCTTCTCTCTGCCCCCTGTTCGTCCTCCTCCCCAGCCAAGCTCACCCCTCCCTTCCACAGGGGAGGTGGCTGCTGTTGCCAACGGGAAGGTCAACCAGTCTCAGTCCACGGAGGAGGCCACAGAGGCCACGGAGGTGCCCGACTCTGGGCCCAGTGAGGCAGAGGCAGCTGCAGTGCGGCCCGGACCCCTCACAGAGCACGTCTTCACTGACCCGGCCCCGGCCCCGGCCCCTAGTACCCAGCCTGGCAGGTGGGCTTTCTCAGATGGGGCAGAGATGGAGGGGAGAGGAGGCCCGCAGAGGTGGGTGGGGACAGGCCTCCATGGGCCACCCTGGAGCCATCATCCTTTCTGCAGTGAGAATGGGCCAGAGGCCGACTCAAGTGGTGTGCAGCCCGAGCCAGAGCCCAGTGGAGACTCTGACGGGACCAGCAGCAGTGCTGCACCCACTATGTGGCTGGGAGCCCAGAATGGCTGGTAGGTGGGGCCTTGGGGGCAGGAGCGGGGAAGGGCCCCCTGGGTGAGCCCTCTGCCCACCTCGGCCTCCTTTTGCAGGCTGTATGTGCACTCAGCTGTGGCCAACTGGAAGAAGTGTCTGCACTCCATCAAGTTGAAGGACTCCGTGCTGAGCCTGGTGTATGTGACCCCTTTCTGAGGACTAGGGACCGGAAAGGATTGAGCACGGCCCAGCCTGAGCTTGGCTCACCACTTTTCCATTCCAGGCACGTGAAAGGACGCGTGCTGGTGGCTCTGGCCGATGGGACTCTGGCCATCTTCCACCGAGGCGAAGGTGAGGCCTGGCAGCAGTGGGCAGGTGGGCGGCCCCTGGTGGTCCTTGGCAGGGTGGGAACCGCCCTCCCTGTAAGCAGATGTGGGCCCCAGCCAGGCCTGAGCAGGTGTGGTGGGCTCTCTGTAGACGGCCAGTGGGACCTGAGCAACTACCACCTGATGGACCTGGGCCACCCACACCACTCCATCCGCTGCATGGCCGTTGTGTACGACCGCGTCTGGTGCGGCTACAAGAACAAGGTGCACGTCATCCAGCCCAAGACAATGCAGATCGAGGCGAGTGCTGGCGGCAGGGGCTCCAGGGAGGGGAGGGGCTCCTGCTGTGGCATTGCTCCCGACACACCTTCTAACAGGGGGCTTCATGGGGTCAAAGGAACCACACTCGGGGATGTGACTCATCTGTCCAAGGTCACAGGCAAGCAGAGGGCCACTGGGCTGTGAATGCCAGTCTGTCTGGAGCCCACCTGCTGCTTCACAATGAAGCAAGTCAGGTTGACACCTGTGTGGGCGCCATACACCTACCCTCAGAAGCCCGGGTGTGGGCCTAGAATGTGGGGTGGGTTGCTGGGGCTCCCCTAGGAGCTTGGGCCCCTGGGAGCAAGTCAGGTGCTAGGCCAAGCCTTGGCTGTGGTGGGTTCAGCACCTCTCCCCCACCCCCATTGACGGGCTGCTGTTACCCCGCAGAAGTCATTTGATGCCCATCCACGGCGGGAGAGCCAGGTGCGGCAGCTGGCATGGATCGGCGATGGGGTGTGGGTGTCCATCCGCTTGGACTCCACGCTGCGGCTGTACCATGCCCACACCCACCAGCACCTGCAGGACGTGGACATTGAGCCCTATGTCAGCAAGATGCTGGGTGAGGCTGTACTGGCCTGACTCTGGTGGGGCCGGGGGCCCGGCAGGCAGTACTGACCTCGCCTCCCCTCACCCCCAGGCACAGGCAAGCTGGGCTTCTCCTTCGTGCGCATCACTGCCCTGCTTATCGCCGGCAACCGCCTCTGGGTCGGCACCGGCAACGGAGTCGTCATCTCCATCCCACTGACTGAGAGTGAGTGACCCCAGACATCTGCAGAGATGGTGATGGCGGTCGCTAAAGGGTTCCGGGGTGGGTGTGCTCTGCCAGGCCACACTCAGGAGGCTGCAGGACTGCCCTGGCCGCAGTCCTCCTCATCCCGCCCCGCCTGTGACTACTTCTCTCCTCTCCCCTCCATGCTCTGCCTCTCGTCTCCCTCAGCTGTGGTCCTGCACCGAGGCCAGCTCCTGGGGCTCCGAGGTAAGTATAGAGGCCTGCCTCCTGCTCCCAGAAAGAAGCTCCCCGCCTGAGATGCCTGTCCCAAACCATGGGCCCCAGCAAGCACCCTCCTACCCGCCACCCTCACCTGCTGAAATCTGCTCCTCAGTGGGCTCAGCCCCTCCGGGTCTCTTTCTATCTCCAGCCAATAAGACATCCCCCACGTCTGGGGAGGGGGCCCGCCCAGGCGGCGTCATCCACGTGTATGGTGATGACAGCAGTGACAAATCGGCCAGCAGTTTCATCCCCTACTGCTCCATGGCCCAGGCCCAGCTCTGCTTCCATGGGCACCGTGACGCCGTCAAGTTCTTTGTCTCCGTGCCAGGTAAGGGATGGGGCTCCACTCCCTACAGGGCAGCATTTGTGTCCTCCCTTCAGGAGCCTGCATAGGGGCTCTGGTTGCCCTGCTAAGGTCCCTGTACCCATGGCAGGGAACGTGTTGGCCACTCTCAATGGCAGCGTGCTGGACAGCCCATCCGAGAGCCCCGGGCCTGCCGCTGCTGCCTCAGACACAGAAGGCCAGAAGCTGAAGAACGTGCTGGTACTGAGCGGTGGGGAGGGCTACATCGACTTCCGCATAGGTGAGTGGGCACTGCCCATGGGCCCCAGGGGCTCCCGGGGCACTGCAGGGACCGCCCCTCACAGCCGGCTGCTCTCCCCAGGTGATGGAGAAGATGACGAGTCGGAGGAAAGTGCAGGAGACATGAGCCAGGTGAAGCCCATGCTGTCCAAGGCTGAGCGCAGCCACATCATTGTGTGGCAGGTGTCCTACTCCCCGGAGTGAGGCACAGCCTCCACCGTCCCTGCCTGATGCCACCGTGTACATACACCCCACCCCACCCAACTGCCATGGGCTGCCCCACGCCGTCAGCCCCTTTCTAATCTCTCAACCTGCAGCTTTCACCTTAGGTCCGGCCCAGGGGCCGGGGAGCTGCAAATTGGGTCTGGCTGGGAGGAGGGGGGAGAGTGGGTGGGAGGGACACAGTGGGTGGCGACACCTTTCGCCCAGCAGCTCCTGGCTGGCCCCTAGCCCAGAGTCCAGTCCCAGGGCGCTGCAGGGCCAGAATGAGGCAGAGTCCCAGGGTGGGCTGGGCCGGGAAAGCCCCCAGATGGCTCCCAGCTGCATCCTGGGCTTCCCACTCCCATCACTCACTCCCAGGAGCCCCAGGTCAGGAAGCAGGGACTTCACCCCCAAGTCTCCCCACCCAAGCCCACTTGTCTTTGCCTGCTGTATGCAGGGGTGGGGTCCTTAGAGAGCTGACCCAGCCACTGGACCTTCTGCCCATCCCTGCCACCCCGGGAACTGGCATGAAAGCACGTAACCAGGCTCCGTGGGGGCAGCTGTTTGAGAAGACAAACACATGCCCTCATCCCGTTCAAACCCTGTGATCATCCTGTTTGGCAGGCTCTCACCAGCCCTCACTGACCCATGTCCCCTCCCCCTTTCCTGGGCAGAGGACCCACCTCGTAGGAGCAGACCCTGGAGTCCTGTCCCTCCTGGAAGTCCCTAGGGTGGAATTTCTCAGGCTGCCACGGCAGGCCCAAGCCTCAGGAAGAAGGGGAGGCCCCTGGCCTCTCCTGGGGTCAGTCCTAGGATGCAGGCTTAGCCTCAGGGTGATGGGGGAAGGTGTGCTCCAGGGCCTGCCTCCCAAGCAGTCTCCAAGGAGCCCAGCTCCCAAGACACACTACTAAGTGCCTTGGGCCGGTGGTGTGGCCCGCTCCCTCAAGGGCGACCGACAGGCTAACAGCAGAGGCCCGAAGGGCTAAGGACAGGGGCCACCTCCCCCACCTCTAGGAGCCTGCGCCTGCCTACTTTGAAGGGCACCGCCCTGGACTGCTGCCTCCCCACCTGCCCAGGCTTTAGTTCTGCACCACAAGGCACTGACCAGGGCAGCCCCAGGCCCTGCTGTCCACCCACCTCCCACCAGAGAAGCACAGATCTTGGGCAGCCATCCTACAGCCCAGCCAGACACCACTGCAGTCACACGCCGCTGCAGGCTTCTCCCCACCGCCCTGCCACACTCCACTGTGATGTACGTCAAGTCCTTTGTTTGTTCCCACGGGGCCGTGAATGACTCGGGGGTTATCCCGGTGGGTGCAGCTGGGAGAAGGGGCTAGGTGATAATTCTCCTCAGGCTTTGGCCCTGCAAGCAAACCCATGTATCTGCTCTGTATGTAATAAATGTCTTAACATGGTACCCCAAACCAACACGAACACAAGGGTTTTCTTAAGTTTATTATAAAAAGAAATGCTGGCACAAGCTGAGTGCCAGGGTCTGCGCCGCGCGGAGCATTTCCAGGTGTGCTTGCCAACAGTCGCATGCCGGGTTTGGTTGGGCAGACCCACCTGCCCTCTGGGAGGTCCTGAAGGGGTCCTGTGATACCTGTCACAGAAGGGGTGTTCTGAGCACCATCTCCGGGGGCCTGGAGGGTGCTAAATCATTCACAACCTATTGCAGCACGTCTGCCCTAGAGGCCCCGGGCGGCCTTCGGTCCTCTGCCGCTGGCGGAGGCTGGGTCCACGCGGCCCCATTACTCATACAGCCAGTGCTCAGCGCTGTCCTCCCAGCACAGGAGCTCCTCTGGGCGGAACCAAAGCGCGATCTCACGGCGGGCGCTCTCCACAGAATCGCTGCCGTGAATCACATTCCTGCGCAGAAGAGGGGCGTGTGAGCGCGAGCAGGGGTCAGGCGCAGCTCAGTTGGGGGAGTCGGGACATGCGCTAAAAACGTCCCGGGGGTCGGGGGCCGGCCTTACTTGCCGACCTCGATACAGAAATCCCCACGGATGGTGCCAGGCGGAGCGTCCGCAGGATCAGTGGATCCGATGAGCGCCCGCGAAATGCGCACGACGTCCAAACCCTGCCACACCTGCGGACCGGGACAGTGGCGCGGGGTCAGCGCGCTGTCGGCGTGGGGTCAGCGCTCCGCCCGCCCTCCGGCACTCACCATGGCCACCACCGGCCCGGAGCCCATGTACTTGACCAGGCGGCCGTAGAAGGGGCGCTCGCGCAGCTCCGCGTAGTGCTCGCGCAACAGCTCCTCGGAGGCCTGGGGAGGGAGGGGGTCAGGACGCGCGCAGCAGGGCCCCGCCCCCTCCCGCGCCCGCGCCCGCGCCCCTACCTGCACCAGCTTCAGCGCCACCAGTTTGAAGCCCTTCCTCTCTAAGCGCCGCACGATCTCTCCTACGAGCCGCCGCTGCACGCCGTCGGGCTTCACGGCCAGAAAGGTGCGCTCATGCACGCCGGAACAGGCTGCGGGACAGCGTGCGTCAGGCCCGCCCGCAGCCCCACCCCATCTGGCCTGGCCCGGCTCAACCCCCGGCCCGGCAGCGAGGCTCACCCGCCGGGAAGAGGTTGGCGAAGATGGTCAGCACCAAACAGATCATGATGGCGGCGGCGGCGGCGATTAGAGCGGAGCGCAGACTTGGGGGGAGGGGGGAGGGGAGAAGGGCGGAGCCTGCGTTTAAAGGGGCCGCAGCCCGAATATCCTCGTTCCCGGCCCCCTGGCGCGGCTGCTTCAGTGGATGCGGCAGGAGGGTGGGAGCTGAGGGAACGCAGACTATACGGTGAAGCTGTACCTTGTCCACGTCCACCCCCAGCACACTGCGGCCACGGGGTCCTGAGACCTTCCTGCGACTGCTGCGTCTGTATCCCTTCCCCCAATCTGCTCAGGTGTTTCCATCCACCGAGCCAGATTCAACATCATGTCAGCTTTTTTCACCCCACTCCAGCAGACAACCCACCACGGCCCCCCAAACACGAAGAAACTACAACCCAGGTCGACTTCATTTGCCTTTATTCGCGTTCACAGCTTCTATCTGGGTCCCGGCTAAGGCAACACGTTATAAGCCGGGGAGGCAGCCTGGATGTGACAGGTGCCAGCGCTGGGGCGCCACACCCACTGGCCCTGCTCTTTCAGCTTTCCCCCAGCAGCAGCAGCCTCCTATGTGGCCCCTTCAGTCAGATCTGGGTGTTGGGGCGACAGGGGCAGAGGAAAGACACAGGTGCAGGGTCTAATGCCACCCCTTTCCACTCTTTGTTCAGTAGCTTCAGAGCAAGTCATGGACTTCAGATCCGAGCTCCCAGGGGGCTGATTCTGGTGTAACCCAAAAACATTTTGTTTCATCTAAATGGTGCCCAACGCCTTACACTCTCCAGACAGCCTGTGGATTCTGATATTTTAGACTGGAGTGCCTTTGGCCTTTCTCTTTGCCTCTTGTTTTGCAGGGTAGTCCCAGGGATCAATGCGTGTTGTCGCCAGATTCAGCATGGGCTCCTCTGTGCTAGTGTCTCCATTTTTCCGTCGCTCTGCTAGGATCATGGCCCGGAGAAGCGGTGGGTAGGGCACAGCATGCAGAGTGTCCTCGGACACCGGCGTGAAAGCAGTAAAGGCCTCCTCTTCGTGCTTGGGCACCAGCCGCCAGTCATGGTACATGACCTGTTCGATCTCCCGGGCTTCGCTCTCCGTCTTTCCTGGGGAAAGAAGGACGTGGTTTATTGTACACTTGTGGAACAGTCTGTTGCCAGCAGCCACCCAACTCGGTCTCCAACACCTTACCTTTGAAGGTCAGGACGCCCCAAGCCTTCCCGTGATCCAAGTTCTGCAAAGCAAATAGGGAAAGAATCAGCTCAGAATGCTTTCTTGCCCCCGAGATCAGGACGCAGGAGAACCCGTCCCACAAAGTCGCGACCAAGGGCAGCAGTGCTGCTTCGCGGTCGGTGCTCGGGAGCAGAGAGGTAGGGACGGGCGCACTCACCTGCGCAGTGTAGTCCGGCCGGACACGTGTGAGGCGCCAGTAGCACGGTTCGTCGTGCTGCCACAGCCAGGACTTGCGCGTGACCAGGCGGCCCAGACCGAAGGACGGGAGGCGGCCCAGCAGCTGCAAGAGGCGGCTCTCACGGCGCACGTCGGCCCAGGCCCGCGCAGGCAGCCGGCGTTCCGTGTACGGCCGAGTCAGCGTCTCATAGTCCAGGGAGTAGCGCTGCGAGTCGCGCGGCCTGTCCCGCTGCTCCCGCAGGGCCCGCACGCGGCGGGCCAGCTCGGCGATCAGCCGGGGCCGCACCTTCTTCCGCGCCATGGTTGGTTCTCGCCTCCGCGCTCCGGTGTAAGCCCCTGCGAGCGCTGCGAGGGCCACCCGCCGCCGGAAGAGGCCGGTGTTCCCTGCAAATGCGGTCGGGCGAGGCCGGAAACGGAGGAGGCCGGGCGGGCCATGGCGAGGGTTGGGCCCGGGAGGGCTGGAGGCTCGCGCCGGGGCCGGGGCCGGGGCCAAGGTCAGCGGCGGGCCCCGACCTGGGAGATCTCAGACTCGGACACTGAGGGCCCCACCGGCGAGGAAGCCAACTCGGAGGCTGTCGTGAGGGCCCGGGACCCGGCGGAGGAGCGCAAGGCGACAGCCGAGGCGCTGCGGCTGCTGCGGCCAGAACAGGCGGTGCGGCGCCTAGTGGTGCGCGTGGACCCAGGTGCGCCCAGGGCCAGGGCAAGGGGCCTGGAAGAAGCTGAACCTCTGGAGCGCGGGCTTTGAAAGCTTCCCTTAATTACTGGGAGGTGGTCCCGGGCCCACTGCGGGATCAGAGGGGCATCTATCAAGGCCGCCTCTTGGCCAGATTGTTTAAAAGACAGACTCTGGGATCCGGACCCTGTCTGCGCTCTTGGAGCCGGTGGTGAATCAATGTTTGTAACACGCCGCCCAGGCTTTGGGTCTAGCTGTGAGTAGCGTCCTCACGTGGGGGGAAAGGAGTGACAGCTGTCTCTCCCACCCACCCCAGCCATCCTAGAAGATGCTGGTGCTGATATCCTGTTGGAGGCCTTGGGCTCCCTGGGCTGTGAGTACCACATCGAGCCCCAGCGCCCAGCTCGGAGCCTCAGGTGGAGCAGAGTGAAGCCGGAACCTTGCCCCAGCAGTGTGAGTGCCCCGGTTCCTTGCCACCAGCAGCCTCTTTTCCTGGGTTTATATAGTGCAGCCTTGGGTTGGGTGTTTTACCGGCATGATTTCCACGAGGTAGCTGCTATAAATCATGCACATAAAAGAATGGGAGATGCTGAGTGGGGTGATGCCCAAGCCACGGTGCCAGTGGAGGTGCTCGGTTCAGGGTCTGAACTCAGCTGGTGCTGAGAAATGTTGCACTCCTCCTGAGGCTGTGGTCAGTGCTCCTGCAGGCCCGTAGACCAGGGCTGGTCTTGGCCTCAGCAGGAGTAAAGCAGCCCTGGGCAGGCATGGGCTTTGGCTGTGGCCACAAGCCTCAGAGCTGTTGTGGTGCCCAGACCAAGGCCCTGGGGCACTCAAGGCTGAGGGTGGGCAGCAATACTCCTTGTGTCCCTACAGGTGCCTCCTGAGGTGTGGGCTGCAGGTGAGCAGGACCTGCTGCTGCTGCTGGAGCCTGAAGAGTTTTTGCAGGGTGTCCTCCAGCTCACCCAGGTGCTCGGCGGGGGGCTGGGTTCCCAGCCTGGATGCACTGCTCTGCCAGGGCTGCTCAAAGGCAGTGGGGCTAGAGAGGGCATGCAGTGGGGCATCTTTGGCCAGCAGCTGAGATGTAGGTGAGATGAGAGAAGCCAGTGGGGCTGTTGGCCTGGGAGCAGATGGGAGCTGGAGCTCCTTAGTGGGCAGAAGCCAGGATAAAGCGGGCTTTCTGGAGAGCTGAGTAAGAAGCCAGAGGTGGGCAACTGGTGAGAGGGGGCCTGGGACTGGGGCTGCGGGTTGGCTGTCCAGTCCACCTGTGCCAGCCAACAGCCCAGCCCCCACCTGGCTGGAGGCGCAATAGGGACTGCTCAGTGGATGTTTGCGCCAGCCTGTCATTAGGTTAGACCCTCTGTCCGCCCCAGTGTGTGAGGTTCAGCATTTATCTGCTGCCAGACACATGCCAGGCTGGGATGCAGAAGTGGCTCAGGAATGGGGAGGGGGACACAGCCCAACTCTTCTAGGAGGCTGGGACATGCCCAGAGGCTTTTGTAGGTCCCCTTGACCTTGTGGGAGGCACAGAGCTGGTTTTCTAGAGACCTGGCTGGGCAGAGGAAGTCCAAGTCAGTCTCATTCCAGCACCACTGGGCCTTCCTCACTCCCCTTCATTCTGCAAACTGACAGAGACCTGGTGGCTTGTGGGTCCCTCCTGCCGCCGCCAGGAGAAACAGGTGTGGTAAACCTTGGCTTGCAGGTCTGTGGCCCAATCTGCTCAGTGCCCTGGATCTTTCCTGAGAGCCCCGCCTGCCCCCACCTGGCTGTCATTGGGCTGGATGCCTACCTGTGGTACTGGCCCCCCTTATACCTTTAGCAGGCCTGGCTGGGATGGGGGCAATTCAGGGAAAAGGTCGGGGTAGGCCTGGGGCTGCTGTGACATGGCTAACCTCTTCCTTTGGGTGGGCTCTAGGGGAAGCAGAACCCAAGTAGGGTGGGACCAGTCACCTCTGCTTAGCTCTCGCCAGCACAACACCCAGGAAATGCAGCAGCCGGAGAGTCCAGGGATGGCCTGCACCATGGTGACAGTTGGCTGGCCTGAGGTGGAGGAGGTGAGGGCATGTCGGGTTGGGTGAGGTGGTTGGCCTTGGCTCTGGCACTCAGGCTGCCGAGGTCCAACAATTGGGTTTGGTCCCAGGGTGGCATGTGGGGTTCTTAGCTGGGTGTCCCCCAGGGGAGCCCTCCTCTTACCCACCTCCCACGGACTTGCCTCCTCAGGCCATGGTGCTCCTGCAGCTCTGGGCAAACCTGGATGTGCTGCTGGTGGCCTCCTGGCAGGAGCTGAGTCAGCACATGTGTGCCTTCACCAAGGCCCTCGCCCAGCATCCCTTCAAGTGCGTGGCTCCCACCCCAGCTGGTGGCTGCAGCTGGGAGGGTGACAGGAGCGCTTGGAGGGGTGGTACCCCTCTAGCCTCTTTGACAGCAGAGGGCTGAGGACTTTGTTGCTCTGGGGGACTGGGTTGGCAGGAGAGATGGAGCCTCTAGAAACCTTTCTGCACCCTTCCTGTCCTTAGGCAGTTCCAGGAGTCCCAGGCCTTTCCCTTCTGCACAGCTGGGCGCTGGGTAGCAGGCACACGAGTGACCAGAGATGGTACAGGGCTGCGGGGGGCCTGGTGGCGGCAGATCAGGCAGTTCAACCGGGTGAGCCCGGCCATCGCTGATGCTGTTGTCACCGCCTTCCCCTCTCCACGCCTTCTGCAGCAGGTGGGCCCCCTCTCACTACCCCAACCACCCCCAGACATGGAGGTAAGGTCCCCGAGGCCTGCTCTGCTCATCCCTGTGCCTGCCCTAGGCGTACAAGGCCTGCAGCACGGAGCAGGAGCGCCTGGCCCTCCTGGCTGACCTCCCCGTGAAGGCAGACGAGGGCGAGAGGCCCCGAAAGGTGGGCCCTGACCTTTCCCGCCGCATCTGCCTCTTCCTGACCTCCACCAACCCTGACCTCCTGCTGGACCTGAGCTCCTGACCATGGCTGCCAGACCTATGGGGCCTTCTCCCACCAACCAGCAGAACAGCAGGCAGTCCAGCAACGGAATGACCAGAAACCACAAGGGGCAGGGGGAGGAGAGCAGTCACCCACCACAGCCAGCAACTCTGCCTGCAAAGGGCTTTCTGTCAAGTCTCACCCAAGGGGCAGGCAAGGGGAGCAGAAAAGGTTCTTGGATAACTGNCAGGTCATCCCAAACCCAGTCAAAATCTAGGAGAGGAGAGACCCAGGTTGGGTGGTCTCCAGAGCCCCCACTGGGACCTGCCCACCACAGCCAGCAACTCTGCCTGCAAAGGGCTTTCTGTCAAGTCTCACCCAAGGGGCAGGCAAGGGGAGCAGAAAAGGTTCTTGGATAACTGGGATGAGCAGAAGAAATTCTTTCCAGGGGATGCTGGCTGGCTGGAGGGACTAGAGAGAATGGAAGTGGGGTTCACATGCCCTTGGGCCCTGTACATACTGATCACAGGCCTGGTGGCCAGCTAGGACAGTCAGGAAGGGCTGGGAGTACCCAAGTCCCTGCCAAGGGACAAGCCCCGTCACTTGAAGGCTTGGGGGTGACACCTTCAGAAAGGAGAAACTGAGATGAAGTCTCAAGGGAGAAAAGAGAACCAGGCCGCTTCTTCCCAAGGGTGTTGCGACATGTCTAGAATTGAAAAGCCATGGACACCCATGAACCCAGGCCTCCATCTGGACTCTAATTCTACCACTACGGAGGTGTGAGACATGAACTCCAAGTTTATTACCATCATTTCAGTCTCAAGACAGGAGGAACAGCAGCTGACAACATGCAAAGCAAGTGAAGACAAACCTGAGGCCCCCCACGGCTGGCGGCCACAGGAAGAGCTGACCTCTGACAAGGCCGCAGACCATAGCCTCCGGGCCTACCGTCTAAGTCCAGAAGACCTGGGAGCGCCACTCCCAGGAGACTCCAAGGAGGGAGGTGGCACCTCCCATCCCCAGCACAGGAAGCAGGTGGACTCAGACAGTACTGGTCTCAGGACCCTAAGCTCCTGTGGCAAAGCCTGTCACAGCCTCAGCTGGCAGCAATCAGCCCAGACATCTGGGCCCAACTCCTCCCTCTCCTGCTCCCCTGGAGCGAGGCCCGAAGGAAGTGACGGAGATGCTGTCCCAACCCCGAAGGCAATTTCGATGGGAAAATAAGTTAGGTCCGTCTGCAGCGTTTCCTCTGACAGCGCCGGGCCTCGGGGCTGCTGGGACTGGCCATGGGCTTGGACGAGGGCACGGGGGACTTGCGGCGGCCACAGCTCATGCTCAGAACCCAGCCCAGCTTGTGGTGCAGCACCTGCTTGAGGCCTGGCGGAAGGGGCAGGCCCTCAAGTGTGTCCCCGGAGTCGGGCCGAAGCTGGCGCAGGCGGTGGCAGCACAGGTACTGCAGGGAGGTGGCACTGGCGCAGGAGCGGATGACTTTCATACTGCTCTTGGCTGCCGTGGAGCACACCATTGGGTAGAACTTCCTGTTCCGCAGCTTGGTGGCTGCCACGCCTGGAAGAGGGGGCACAGCCTGAACCCTGGGCTGGGAGGGGGCCCAGCCACTCACAGCCTCCTGAGGTAACTGAGGACTTGGCCCTTGTGCCATCCTACCCTCGAAAGACCCTGGGACCCTCGGGCTTCTTTCTTCGAGGATAGCCTTTTAGGGAGCCTTGGGGCCACTCAGCTTGGGCGCGCCTCCACTTCCTGCAGGCTCTTGATGGCAGCCACACCCTACAGGCACGTGTCCCTGGGACTGGGGCTGCGGGTTGGCTGTAGAAGGGGCGCTCGCGCAGCTCCGCGTAGTGCTCGCGCAACAGCTCCTCGGAGGCCTGGGGAGGGAGGGGGTCAGGACGCGCGCAGCAGGGCC